CAACAGCCACTCCTCGCACATCTGGGCAGAGGAGCTATCGTTGGGTGATTCCCCACTGTGTGTCCCGGTGGCCTGTCCTGCGTGGCCGCACCCCTCACATCCCCGAGGCTCCCTCCCATCCTGTGCGTGACCGTGTGTGTTTCTCCTCTCTCCTGGTCTGCCTCTTCGGTCCAGGTGCAAACCCAGACTTCAGGTCACCAGACGACACTGTGTTCGACATCATCACGGACGAGGAGCTGTGCCAGATACAGGAGTCGGGCTCCTCCCTGCCTGAAACGCCCACCGAGGCCGACTCTCTTGACCCCAGCGTGGCCGAACAGTGAGTAGAGGTCACCGCCATTTCCCGAGTGCTCGTTCAATGCCTGGCCCTTGCACTTGCTTATCAAAGGACCAGGAAAGTCTGGAGCAGCGGTTCTCAACCTGTGGGTCGCGAACAATGAAAATACATCCTGCGTATCAGATATTTACATTACAATTCATAACAGTAGCAACATTACAGTTACGAAGTAGCAACAAAAATAATTTTATGGTTGGGGGTCACCACAACATGAGGAACTGTATTAAAGGGTCGCGGCATTAGGAAGGTTGAGAACCACTGGACTCTGGAGGATCGCTGTCCTTGCTGAAGGGAAGGGGCCTCGGCACAGTGCTGGGGAGCAGTGGCCCTCAGGGAGTTCAGGGCTTGGGATGGTCACTGTTGACCTTGTCAGAGACGTCCCGGGAAGGTCAGTGGTCCCGGATTTCAGCATTAAGGCCTTCCTGGGTGTAGGCAGCTACAGTAACCTGCTCAGGCTGCCATAACAAAACACCCAGACTCGGTGCTGACACACCAGAGATGAGTTTCTCACTGTTCTGTAGACTGGAAGTCCAGGTCAAGGAGGTGGCAGTTTGGTTTCTTCTGGGACCTTTCTCCTTGGCTTGCAGACCATGACCGTGCCTCCTTGCGTGGTGTCTGCACATCGCCTTGGTGTGTCCTGCCTCCTCCTCGCACAGGATACCACTCAGGTTGGATGAGGTCCCCTGGTCCAAATGCAGTCACTTTCTGAAATCCGGCGGTTTAGGACCACAGCATGAGTCTTGATCTTGCCAACTCGTATTGACCTCTCTGTTCCTCTCTTCCTCCCGACTTGAGAGGTCGCTGTCACCCAGGATTTCTGCTGCACTGGAGGGGATGCATTTAATCATCATGGGAATCTCAACAGGAGATTTTAGGCGTCAGGGTACCTCCGTATCCAGTGTTCTTTTACTAAAGAGTGACTGCACATACCATGGTGTGGCCTCATGGTTAAAGCCATCCTGATCACCCAACCAAGAGAGCCCCTGCTCATGTCGCTTCTGTGGCTTTGGGCCTTTTCCTCCTGGAACCCCAGAATTCTTCCCGGACTGCAGCAGCCTGTGCGTTCCCCCCCACCCTCACAGCCCAGTAGTCCCCAGGGCGTGCTCCGTCCCATTAGCGCTAAGTCGCTGTCTGCCGTCCTCACCTGGCCCCTCTTCACTGACGGCGCCTCGCCTCCCAGCCAGGTGATGGTCAGGTGAGCAGGACCGAGCTTCGGGCCTGGGAGGGCAGCCTCGGCTGCAGCTGCATGAGAAAGTGAGCCCCCTGCAGCCTTCTCTCCCTGGCCCTTCCCCTTCCCCTTTCTCAGCAGGAACAAAAACGGAAGATGTTCTGAGTGACAGATATGTGCGTGTCAGTCACGGGAATCAGGAAGTGTCCCAGGGAAGGAAGCTGCCAGCGCTTCTGGGAGGCTGGCCTGCGTTGTGATGTGTAGGGCTGAGCTGGCATATCTGCTGTGTGCCCATTTCCTGGCACCTAGCGGCCCCCTTGTCTTCTCCAACGTAAACCACTCCAGATGCCCAGATGATACTGAGCTCAAGCTCACCCACACAGCATCATGGCTGGTAATGCTGTAGAGCTGATGCTTTGTGGGCGTGTGCTTTGGGGAGCTGTGGTGGGTTTGTCGCCAACCGGGAGACTTGATGCCTGGTATCTCAGCAACAAAATGAGGACAGGATATGGTGATGCTGATTAAGGTTAGAACGTCACAGTGTGCTTGGGTTAACCAACAGCTCTGCCTTCGGGTAAGTGAAGCTGCATAAAACCTCACCAACTTTGGGGGGAGGAGAAAGGCTCCTCACTGGGGTCCTAGCCCTCGTTCTGCTGTGTGAGCCTTGGGGGGTATTAGTCTCTGAATTAGTTTCCTCGCCTGCAAACGGTGTTGGCAGTTCCCAGGAACCACAGACCGGGCCCATGGAAGGGGTGCTGCCTTTGGAGCCCTTAGAGGAGAAGGCTGGAGTGCACGTCCTGACCACTCCTGGGCCGCGTGTCCTTTGCTCTGCCTCCACCCCTCTAGTGGGGGCAGCTTCAGGTTTCCCTCCCGCAGCACCCTTTCCCCAGCCAGCGCGCTCACGGAGGTCACCCGGGCTGCTTCCAGGTTCCCCTGCATCAGGTCACCCTGTGTTCACACAGGACAGGGCGGCCATCTGTGGTCTTTACCAAGTGTTGCAAACATGGTCGGCGAGGAGCACTTCTTTACCTTCAGACCCTGAGGCCACACCCCAGGCAGAGTGCCCACACCCAGCCTGCTCCCCTGCTCCCCGTCCTCCCTCTGTTCCTTTCCCTGCCCCTTCACCAACCCCTCCCCCACACACACCCTCCCTCATCTCCAAGGCCTTTATGACGTGCTGGTGTGCGTGAGAATAAGGGGCGGAAAAGAGCAGGTCTGAAGGTGGGAACTTCGACTACCGGGCTGTTGTGTGGATGGAATGAAATCAAGACGCAAAAGCCCTGTGGCCTCCGTGGGCTGTGCCAGTGTCTGTGGCCAGTAACGAATGGCGTGTACCCAGGGGAGGACGTGGAAAGTCATCCCTACTCCCAGGTGTCTCAGATAAGGGCCCAGAGAGTGTAGGACCAGGGAGTGACGAGGCAGGAAGGTGAAGGACTCAGCTGCTGTGCGGTTCCTGGGGACAGGTGGGTGGGTTTGCTAAGCTGTGGAAGGGCCAGGGGTGGGGTACGGACTGGCGGTGCCTGGTCGGGGAGAAGCCAGTGGTCCCAACAGTGGCCCTTGTGCTGCTGTGGCCAGGCAGCCCCCAGCTTGGCCCTCGGAGTGCACTGACCGGGCCTCACTGTCGCTAGCCAGGGGTGTGGGTGGTGACGTGGGCCTGGGGGTCTGAGTGACTTTCCCAGGGACACAAGAGGTGGGGCTGCCACTGAGCCGGTGTTTGAGTGACCCAGGGCCCTGCTGTCCCCTCACCACCGCTTCCCCCCACAGAAGCCTGTGGAGATGCTGCAGGGCCTCGCCGCTTGTGCGGGGACACTGTCAGGAAAGTCGGGGGCTAGTGGCCTCGCTGTCAGAGGTGCTCAACACGAGGTGGAGGCACACAGGGAGATGACGGCAATGCCCCATTGAAGCCAATTTAAAGAAGGTAAATGTCGGCCTTGTCCCCAGGAAAAGAGCAGATCGTGTTGTTTGGGACGGACGCAGTGGTCGTGAGGCCCGAGTATAGGAAAGTCACTCATGGATGCATTGGGCACGGTGATGAAACAGCAGGTGGGGTCACGCGGACCCTGTGCCACTGGCACGGGGTCACGCGGACCCTGTGCCACTGGCAGTGTGTGTGGCATGCCACGCCTCTCTGAAGGCGCAAAGCAAACCCTCCCAAGCCTCGCCAACACAGCAGCTTCCATCTTGTGTTGCTAGTTTTTGTCTTTTCAATTTACCGGGGTGACATTGTTAATGGGATTACATAGGTTTCGAGTGTACACTTGAAACATCATCTGTATATTGTATTGTGTGCTCATTACCCTAAGTCTACCCTCCTCTGTCACCATATATTTGACCCCCCTGACCCTCTTCAACCTCCCCCCACCCCTCTTCTCTCTGGCAACCACCATACTATTGCCTGTGTCAATGAACTTTTTATTTGTTTCTTTTGTTTGTTCATTTGCTGCCTTCTGTGTTAATGTCCTTCACAGTGAGTGAGAACATAATTCTTGCCCTTTTCCATCTGATTGATTTTGCTTAGCATGTGACTCTCAGGATCCATCCACGCTGTCGCAAATGGCAGTGTTTCATCCTTCCTTGCGGCTCAGTAGTATTGCTGGTTCTCGGGACAAAGAGCAGTCACTTCTGCCGTTTGGGAGCCCTCCTGCCCGTGAATGCGAACTGTGCCCAGTGTTCTGTACGCAGGTCTCCAGTCCGCAGCCAGCCCTGGGAGGTCGGCCGTGGTACAGTCCATGTCTCACCAAAACAAAGGTGAAGAGATTACCACGTAGTGACGGGCAGAGCTGGATCCAGGTCTGGTCTATCTAAACCTCAAAACCGCACTGTTCAGCCCATAATTCTGCCTGCATAACAGCTGATGTCAGCTGTCGTCCTCATTTCGGCGAGTGACTTGTGACTCATGAACCAAAGAGGCAACTTTAAGCCTATTGAGCAGAGAGTTAGGATCTAGTAGACACAACACGCACAGTGTCTGACATTTAAAACTCTGCCTCATTCCGTGACCACATTATGGAGATTAAACAAATACGCCTCACATGGTGGGCAGGAGGTTGGAAACCACGGCCAAGGAGCTGGGTGGTTTTCACTGGTATATTCCACGTCCTTGGTAGAGCAGTGCCCTGAGAGTTTGTAATCTTAACTTCCTTCTTGTGCCCTGGGCCCACAAATAAGCTCTTGACCTATCCCAGGCATGCCACATTAAAGTGGAAAGTGCCCAAGGGGTAAAAGTAGTTTGGAGACTTTTAAAAGTTTTGTTTCTTAGTCATGAAAATCATATGCTGTTTGACATATGTGTGGAAGAGAGAATTACATATACATAAAGGATTTGAGCGCATGTGTGTGAAAGGCATAGGATATTTGTGTTGTTGGTTTTTAAAAAAATTTTTTTATTGACTTCAGAGAGGAAGCGAGAGGGGGAAAGAGGTTGAAACATCAATGATGAGATAGAATCATTGATCGACTGCCTCCCGCACACCCCCTACTGGGGACCAAGCCCACAACCCAGACATATGCCCCAACCTGGAATCAAACCGAGACCTCCTGGTTCATGGGTCAATGCTTAATCACTGAACCACATCGGCCAGGCAGATAATTCAATTTTAAAATGAGCAGACCCAGCATAGACTCCTTTTCAGAACACTTCTTAGATTCATGGTGATCTTAAACTTGGCTATGCACAGTTTCTAGCATTCTGTGGACCTCTGGGATTCTCAGCCGACTCAGTTGTTTTGGCCTGTTCATATTCCCTGGTGCAAGTCCTTCCAGGATTAATCACAGAACAAGAGCATAAAAGTTAACCCAAAAGTGAGGCAGAACCTGACCTCCTTGGTGAGGAGCCCAAAGGAAAGGGTCAGCACCTGTTCTCATGGCTGCTCTCATCCCTGCCTCCCAGAAACCGGAAGAATCTCCTGAACTTGGGAGCTCAATGTCACCTGCTATCAGCAGCTCTGTGGTCATGGTACCTCTTCAACCTTCATTCTCAGTCTCAGTGAAGGAGAATCTGGGGTTTTAGAGTCACACCATTCCCGCTGGTGTCAGAATTCTCGGAGATGGAGGAAGGAAACCCCTTAAAGTTTCTGGCTTCCCCGGTGAGCTTTAGGCCTGGTGTTCAAGGAGAGAACAGGTGTGTTCACGCCTGAGAAGAAGCATTGCACACCAGCTGCAGCGTTGGGTCACTTCTCCGCAAAAATGCACAAGCTATAAACAAAGCCTTCCCCGTCGCCGCCGGAAGACACGGCATTCTGTGCTCCTGCAAGTTCCTGGGCAGCTTCTCTGAGCCCCACGGCCTACAGCTGGAACATGCTGGTTCCCTCCACTTGCTGGGAGGCGGAGCACGTCTTGGAAGTGTCCTCCGAAGACTTCGGCTGGCTCCAGGCTCCCACGTAAGGGAGGCAGCCAATGTCTTTCACAAGTTTCCAGAAGTTCTTCCGAAACTTCAGGCCAACAAAAGCGTAGAGCACAGGGTTGAGGCAGGCCCGCAGGTAGGCAATGGCCTCCGTCACGACGATGGCATAGTGGTAGCTGGTCATGGTGTGGTACACCCAGCTCGTGCTGCCTATGAGCTTCACAAGAGTGAAGGGCGTCTGGGTCAGCAGGAACACAGCTACCACCAGGAAGATGATCTTGAGAGACTTGTGGTTCTGGAAGCCTCGGGCATGAAGCAGCGTCTTGATTATGACCGAGTAGCAGACAATCATGGTGAGCAGTGGCAGGAAGAACCCCAGAGTCATCTGGGTGGCGAGAACCACAGTGGAAATCGTCTCGTTGTGATCACAGACCCACTTGTCGTACTTATGGACATCACCATAGATGATCTGTGGCAAGGCCAACAGCAGGGAGACCACCCAGATGGACCCGCAGATGGCCTTGCCCCAGCTCATCCGCTTCGCTTTCTGGTTATAGGCCTTTGTGGCCCGGACCACCGCCATGAAGCGGTCCACGGTGATGCAGACGAGGATGAGCATGGACGTGTACAAGTTGAAAGTATAGACGCCTAGCAGGATTTGGCACATCACCTTGCCGAAGACCCATTCATGCATGCCTGCGTAGGCCCAGAAGGGCAGGGTGCAGACAAACACCAGGTCAGCCAGGGGCAGGTTCACCAGGAACATGTCCGTCAGGCTCTTCAGCTTCTGGTAGAAGATGTAGATGACCAGCACCAGCGAGTTCCCCACCAGGCCACAGAGGAACACGGCCACGTACATGCAGGGCAGAAAGAGCTTCTTGAACTCCAGGAAGTTATTGTGCTCCTGCTTGTTGGCGTTGGACACGTTGAACATGCTTGCAAAATAGTCGTCATCCTCCATAGTGTCTGTTCTGATGAACACCTGTGAGTCAAAACACAGGAGTCATGTTTGGGCTGAGAGCCCACACCCCACACCCGTCTTCCCACTGCCCCCTTGCCCAGCTCCGCCCTGCACAGTCTAGTACACGAGATGGCCAGTTCAGTGGGGAAAATGCTCCAGTGGGACAGGGAATTCTTCATGAGCCTTACAGTTCTCAGGACTCACCTGCCTGGGAGACCATGCGCATCCCAGAAAACCTGTGCTCACTTCGGCCTCAAAGGGCACCTGTGGTGACATGGGGTCGGTGCTCTTTGGTAGAGCAGCACAGCAGGGCCTGCTACACCTGCCCAGGCCTCACAGCATGTGCCCGCCCATCCTGTGCCCCACCTGCTGTTACATTGGACCCCTGAACTACTCATGAAAGCCAAGGCACATTTCCCCCAGGAGGTGTCTGGGGGATGGCCCATCCCTCCTGCCTTTTGCTCTCAACTACATAGATTTTAAAGGACGACTGATAGAAAAACCAGGCAGAGAAATGCACGTGGCTGCCCAGCACTTGGGCTGAGCCGGCCCCTGACCAGGGATTTGGGAGTTCTCACACCCCAGCCTCATCTTTCCCCTTTATCGCCTGTCCCAGTGACAGTGTGCCCCTCAGAGCCTCATTTCCTGAAGATACTTTGACCTTTAGGCATCTCTTAAGAGGTAGGTTTCCTTAGAAGAGAACATGGCTTTAGCTTTTATGACTAGCAGTTTAGGCTGAAGGGTCTCCTTTAACAAATGGGAGCCCTGGTTGAAATGGCCAGCTGGGTGGGTGGCCAGAGGCCGGTGGCAGGCCTTGCAGTAGGCTTGTAGCTAAGTGCAAATAGCTGCCTCTTTTGCCTGGGGCTCCCTGCCCTTCAAGGCCCACACTTCCCTTTGACCCTTCTCTTTGCCCTGTGACCCTGCCAAGGACCACAGGCAGGACATCACAGAGGTGATGTGACCCATGGCGTGGGCATGGGCACCTGCCTGCAGCAGCTTCGAGTTTGGAGTGCCAGGCCACTGGCCTGCAGATTCTCCACACACAGTGGCTCATTTCCAGGGACCCAGGGCTATACCTTGCCAGTACCTCAAGAAGATGGGTTTTTTGTGTTGCGGTTTTTTAAATGAAAACACAGGTATTCTTTATTGCAATTTCATAGTTGAAAGGAGGCAGGTATTTGGATTAGCAAAGTCAAAATAACCACCGTCAAAAAAAAAAAATACATCAGCCGGCCAGACAAGGGCACAAACAAGGAGGCCTCATCTCTCCTTTCTTATCTCCTCGAAGACTTCTGACTGGAAGTGGCATCAGCCCTGGTGCTGTCCCCTCAGTCTTTTCTGGGGACAAAGCACCCTTCACTGCAAGGAAGGGCCTTGCCTTTGGGTGAGACTACGCAACAAAAAGTCCCTGCTCCTCGTCCGGCCGCGGTGTCTCAGTGGTTGAGCACTGACCTATGAACCAGGAGGTCATGGTTCGATTCCCAGTCAGGGCACATGCCTGGGTTGCGTCCTCAATCCCCGGTGGGGGGGGTGCAGTAGGCAACCAACCAGTGATGCTCTCTCATCGTTGATGTTTCTAATTCCCTCTCTGAAATCAATAAATCGGATTTTCTCAAAACCTTAAAAAATTACTTTCCCTTCTAGAAATGTGAAAACCATTTACTTCCATAACCAAAGTTCTATGTTTATTTCTGAAAATAAAAAAGGTAATATATGCAACTTTGGAAATAGTGTAAATGTCTAATAATAAAAAAAATAGCTAATTATAATTCAGACAAAATAGAATATAACTAATGTTTAGTGCTTTTAATATTTTTAAAACGGTAACGCATTTGAATTGCTCAGAAGAGTATAAGCACAGACTTAGTATTGGCTGTTACTATTGCAGTGAGTAGGTGACAGGGTTATAGAGTTGATCATGGTTCTTAACCTTTGATCATAAACCCCTTTGAGAATCTCATCGAGGCCGCAGACCTTTTCCTCAGAAATATGTACACACACTTGCACTCCTGGGGTCCGTGAGCCCTTTGACACTCTCCCACATACCTCACCACCCTGGCCTAAGAATCGACGATAAGCTATAGGGTTTTGACTATATTTTTTTAAAAACAGAAAAATGACCAGATTTTATCAGCAGTTCGCTCTGGTTGGTGCAGACTTATTTCCCTTATATTTTCCAAAAGTTCTATAGTGGTGAACCATATTCCAAGAGAGGAGCCTGGCTTACTAAATGCAAAGGAAACAAAAACAAAGGCTATTCAGTGAACAGACATAGACAGTGAGTCTCCTCATCTCCCGGGAGGGTCTGACTCTGCTGTTGCTCCCCACGACCATTCGCTTCCAAGCACGTCCAGTGCCCAGGACCCAAAGTCATTTCTCTAACCCTCGGCAGCAAGCAGCAGAGATGGGATCGGAACCTGGAGCAGCTGCGCGCTAAAGCCTGGGCATTTCAGGGCGGCTGCTCCAGGCAGGAATCTGAGAGCCCTGGCTCTTACCTATAGAGAGGAAGACAAATGACTCACCCACCAAGATGCCTTTTCAGTTTGTTCCAGAGATGAGCTGTGCTCAGCAGTAGGCTCTACCTCTGCCTCTCTGTGACGTGGCCCATGTTTCCGCTGAGTAGTTTTGAAGAACCCTCGGTTGCTGATTGGAAGAGGCCCAACCCATCTTGCAGATCAGAATCCACATGACCAGTCTGCACCCATGTAATTTGGGGTCAAAGATAGGAAGCTGTGGCTCCGTCACTGAGACCCCTCTGCCCCCGGGCTGGTGACCGACTCGCCCGCTGGGACCTGAGAGGGCTTTTCTTTGTAAACCGATGGCATTCGAATCTTAAAATTCTTTCATTCACTAGTCATGCATCTCTTTGGAATAGTTTGGGTCTGGACCAATGCAGAGTGCATGCTCTGGTCTCGTTCTGTGTATGCGTGCAGCTCCAATGTGATAGCCACGGATTCTCAACCCTGCAGAACTGTTACCCCATTTAATAGATGAGAACACCCAGGGCCGTAGTTGAATTAGTCCCATGTGCACACAGCTAGTAACTGGCATTTCCAGGCTACAAACCCAGCTCCGTCACTGCCAGGCCAATGAACCAGATGGCTTCTAGGTGAATGTGGGTCTGACATGGGATAAGCCAGCCATGTCATTTAGGACGAGTTCAACAGCTGGAGCTGGAAGGGCCTGAGCCTTGTCTCGCACATACTCGGCCATGTTCTTCTCGCTTAGTAATCACTTGTGCCCCGTGGGGCACACCAGGTCTCGGCCTGCTGCCCCCCACACGTGCCTTTTGTGATCTGCCTGTTTGCAGTGCTGCTTGTTTCAAGGGCATTCCTTTTCTTGGAAACAAAACTAAGCTGCTTAAGGGGAAGTAGCCAGTCATATGCCTTGGCTTCCCACTGGCGTACTGCAACAGTTTCTAAGCAGGTGAGGGGAGAACCGGAAGGGCATGGCAGCCGCCTGCCGCACACTCATCGGGGAAGTCATGCTGCGCTGACCTGCCCGCTCTTCCTCAGCACCTGGCACTCTCGGGCCAGAACTCTAGTTAGGATGTCGTGACCCAGGCTGAGGCTGTCATAGCTGCTGGCAGAAGAGGCTGCCTGCAAGACTTTGGTGGGTGACAGGGCTGTGGAGGGTAAGTTAAAAGATCCTAACAACGGTAGCCTAACCAAAGGGCACCAAAGGGCTAGGGAGGTGTGGGAGGGAGTTGGGTGTGGCCTGCTCAGCGTCGCCCCCAGGTGTTGGTTGTGAGACTGGGCCTGCAGGTTTGTCTCTTGTGGCAGACCATAGTTACCAAGTAATCAGAAATCAAAATACCCGAACTGTTCTTCTTCACTTGGTTTTTAGGCAAAAGGAAATCAGTGACTAAAACAACAACTACTAGGAATTTACTTTAATCGTAAAATAAAATACCCCAATCCACAAAATGACTCACCCCAACCTTGCAAACTGGGCTGTTCACTAGAGTCTCCTGCAGTGACGGGCACGTCCTGGATCTGTGCTGTCCCGCACGGTGGCCGCTAGCCCGTGTGGCTGCTCAGCGCCTGCTGTGTGGCTAGTGCAACTAAAGAGTCACATTTTGTAGCTTTAAAATAATTTGGTGAATTTGAGTTGCCATAGCCATAGCCAGTGGCTATCTGTTGGACAGTGCAATTGTAAACCAAAGACCTCTGCCGCTCACAGGGCCCTGCTCACAGATGCAGGCTGCCCTGGGGGACTGCAGGACTCTCATTGGTCAGAGCACCACTCCTAACTGCTGGGCTCGGCCAGAGCCGTAGATGGAGCCCCTGAGGAAGATGGTCAGCCAGACCCTTGGGCCATAGGGGCCTTGCAGGCATCCTTTCCTGCCCAGCCCATCCAAACAAGCGGGCCATCTGCTATCCTATCCAGAGGTCTGCAAAATTGACATACAGCAATTCAGTAAAAAAGAGCCAAGGCATTTTGATCTGTGGGAGGAAAATACTAGAGACTGCAGAAACCAAGCTGGAGGACCCCACCCAGGATCCCTCCTCCAGGCCACATGAACCCCTGAACTGCATTGCCGGGGACTTTTCAGCATCCACCTCGTCTGTGATCGCCACTTTCTTCTTACTTGGTTCTAACTTGGAGCCTTGCCCGGCTGGCATGGCTCAGGGGTTGAGTGTTGATCTATGAACCAGGAGGTCATACTTCGATTCCCGATCAAGGCATATTCCCAGGTTGCAGGCTTGATCCTAGTGTGGGGCATGTAGGAGGCAGCCAACCAATGATTCTGATCATTGATGTTTCTACCTCTCCCTCCCTTCCTCTGAAATTAATAAAAATATATTTAAAAATAAATAAGTAAATTGGTCGTGTCCTCCCTTGGGGGCATTTGAGACAGAAAACTGCCTTAGCCTGAGGCACCTAACCTGGACACTTACTGGGCACAGTCTGTGTGCAGGGCACGTGCCCAGGGATGTCGAGATGAGCGCCTCGGGGTGGAGCAAGTTGACGTAGATGCCTGTGCGTGAAGACAGGTCCAGCTGGACTGGCTGTAGGCTCAGGGAAGTGTGGCATGTCGTCTTCCCCACGAGGCTGCTGTGGCTAGCGTTAAGCTCCCAGGGCTGCAGCCTGGCGGGAGGAAGGTCGCTTGTGGGCAGTGAGTTTGTCTTGCTCCTTTTCTTAGAAAAGCACGTCAATGACAACAGAAAGAAATGGGTCTGGGAGGGAATAGGCTGCCCCCTGGTGGCTGTGCTTTTGTTCCCTGTCATTCTCACATTTTTTAATCCTTGGGCATCTTCTAACACAGCTGCTTGGACATTTTCTACTACATCCCACAGTGAGAGTACATGTTACCTGACCACCTGGGTGTGGACATGTGTAGACTCCAAATCAGAACAAGAGCCTCATAAAACGATACTGAACCCTCCCCACATGCATTGGTCATTTCCAGTCTGTTTTCCTAATGTTGGCCATAACTTACTCACAACCTATTACGTGGGTCATGACCCACAGTTTGAAAATCTATTGAAAACTACTCACTACCTTCCCAACTTCATCGCCCACCCAGGCATTCTCTCCCCCACCCCTCCCCCACCCCCACCCCCACCCCAGCTCCCTCTCGCGGGGCCTCAGGCAGGACCAGTGAGGGTCTGAGGCACCTACTCTGGGAATCATCTCCTTGCAGGTTGCTGGGGGTTGTCTGTCGTCATGATGGTCAGAGAGAGGGGAGACACAGAAAGAGAGGGAACAATAGGTAAGGACATCTTTTGTCCTAAATGTAGGAAGATGGAGAGAACCCGCTGTAGTTTTCAGAGTTTGTTTCATCTTATGTTATAGATCTTTCTCGTTTACGGTGTTTCCACTTTGGACAAGGATAAAAGCAAATGAAATGAGGTCGGCCTTGGGCCCATCTCTTCTCCCCTGGACCCCTGTCTCTTGAGCTGCTTCTTGCAGGGACATTCTGTGATTCTGTTTGTCCCAGGGTCAGAGGTGGGGGATCTGGAAGCCATGGTTAGAAGAGCAACAAGAAGGGAGGAGGGCAGAGGTGGGGCAGGGCCTGGGGGAAGCGGAACGGCAAATGACAAGGCTTGCTTTGGTGGCAGCGGGCGAAAGGGCTTAGCCAGAGTCACGCAGTTAGTGGCAAAGCCAAGACCGGAACTGCCTTGAAGTGATTCCCAACACCCCACCCCGAGCTATGCTACTTCTGCCCTGAGCCACAGTGGGCTCCAGTGGGAGGCTGACTGTCCCGCTGGTCATGGGCTAGTGTGAGTGGTGCAGAGACAGCCCCAGCCAGGCACCTGGGCGTTCGTGGGTGTCTGGTGATCTAGACACCCCTGGGAGCCCCCAGTGCCAGCTTTCACACACCCCCACGTAGTTGCGCCCCGAGAGCAGATTCCCTCATCCCACGGCCTCAGCACTCCAGCAGTAGGCAGACAGGAGCAAGGTCAGGCAGTAGGAGCTCTGGTGGCGAGCAGGCTGCCCAAAGGAAGCCAAGAGGTCAGAGCCTCTCTGTAACTCAGCTGGCGTGGGATGGGGGGTGGTCCATGTGTGTATGGTCGTCCTGTCCCCACACCCGCGGGGAAGACATTAGGGAGAGCACTGCAGCCCTATTGTCCTCTCCCACCCAGTGCCCTCTGCCCACAGGGTATGCGGGCCTGTCTCACGACCTCCGGATTGAAGGGTTTCCATGGGGTCTGATATTGGCTACATGACTCCAGCTGTGGGCCTCAGGCTGTGGGCCCCTGTGTGCTGATAGCTAAATGGCTGTACTCTCATCACATTTCAGGGACACTGCATCGAGCTCACTAACCCCTGAGGACCCTGAAGACATGGCCCTGGGGCAGGACACGGAAATCTGCTTGCTGAAGTCCGGGGAGCTGATGTAAGTGCCCATCCCCAAGCGGGGCCTCCCACAGCAGTGGGTTCACGGCAGAGGAACTGACTTCCCAGTGCCGGAGCTGGAAAGCACCCACAGGCTGACTGGGCACTGGAGGTTGTGCTTTTTTAGGTATAATTCATATACAGTAAGACCCTCTTTAGAGTGTGTAATGCTTGGCCTTTGACAAATAATACAGTGTAATAGTCACCAGTCATCCTGCCCAGCCCACACTCAGCTCAGCCAGCAGCTCATACGATCTCAGGGACCTCAAAGCCCACCCAGCTCTGCTCCCCACTTGCTGCTCCGTCTTGGACAAGTTACCTAACCTCTCTGAGCTTTAGTTTTCGTTTCCACCCCTGAGGCGAGCAGTCTCAACCCTACCCCCGGCTCCCCAACCCAGAGGACCAGAGCCGGGAAGGAGGCACCACATAGCATCTGGCTGTGAAAATCGGGATTCTGTCCTCCTTGGTTTCCTGCTGGAAACTAGGTGCCCCCTTTAAGATCCAGCACAAAATCTGTTGGCAAATACTCACCCAGGGCTCCAAAGGAGGGAGGGCGGAGGGACTAGAGTTCTGTGAGGAGAGACTGGGGTTTGTGGCTCCAGGGAGAGAGCTGAAGGAATGGCCACCAGGGTCCTTGCCCTAAGTTTCTCTCTTATATTGTAGATGCTATCTTTCTTGGGTGGAGCACTCTGCTCCGTCCAGCATCAGCCTGGGGGAAATGCCAAGAGCCCCACCCTCCAGGCTCCCTATTGTCCGACACAGCACAGATCACGTCCTGCAGAGGAGTC